GTGTGCCTGGTTGTGGGAGAGAGGTCCAGTCCCCTTCTACATGCCCTGGGTCCCTGGGTGGGCTCTGAGGTGCTGGCATGGTGTGTCTGGTTGTGGGAGGGTGGTCCAGTTTCCTTCTCCATGCCCCAGGTGGCTTGGTGTGCCCGGTTGTGGGAGAGGTCTGGTCCCCTTCTCCATGCCCTGGGTCCCTGGGCAGGCCCCAATGTGCTGGCATGGTGTGCCTGGTTGTGGGAGAGAAGTCCATTCCCCTTCTCCTTGCCTCGTGTCCCCAGGGAGGTCCCAAGGTGCTGGCGTGGTGTGCCTGGTTGTGGGAGAGAGATCCAGTCCCCTTCTCCATGCCTCAGGTCCCCGGGTGGGCCCTGAAGCGCTGGCTCAGTGTGCCTGGCTGTGGGAGAGAGGTCCAATCCCCTTCTCCATGCCTTGGGTCTCCGGGACGACCCTGAAGCACTGGTGTGGTGTGCCCGGTTGTGGGAGAGAGGACCATTTCCCTTCTCCTTGCCCTGGGTCCCTGGGCAGGCTCCAAGTTGCTGGCATGTTGTGCCTGGATGTGGGAGGGGGTTCTAGTCCCCTTCTCCATACCTGGGTCCCTGGGCTAGTCCCAAGGCACTGGCGCAGTTTGCCTGGAAGTGGGAGTGGGGTCCGGTCCCCAGATCCAAGCCTCTGGTTCCCAGGCAGGCCCAAAGGTGCTGGTGGTGTACCTGGGCCAGAACTAATTTTTTGTCCTTTGCTTCTAACACGGGGGCACTTCCTGTGGGAACCAGTACTTGAACTGTGTGGTTGATCTAAATTGCTGCTTTGCTGCTGTTTCCCTAGGGAAGGCTTTTTGTGTAGCTCAGGGTTTAATGGTTGACCTTATAGGTACTTCCGGCTCTCCAGAGACCCAGTGGATCTGGGTTGTGTAGAATCTCTGATCTGGTCCTGAGTGTTTTCATCAAACTGCACCGTATGCAATTCTGCATTCCTGACCAGTCTCCTCTCAGTGGTCCTGCACCGACTGGGGGGCAAGTTGGCTGTCCTTGCTGTGTCCCAGTGTTCTCCTGGTGCTCCTGTCTCCCCCACTGCTTATGCTCCAAACACTTCCCATGGGATGGGCCCTGCATTGGTCCCTTGAGATGAAATCAGCAGCCGCTGAATGGATCCCTTTTTTCAGCTGTTCTGGCTCCTCGCTCCTGCGTGGGTCCATGGGAACCCTATTAGTGGTCTTGCTGACCTGGGGGCTGCCAAGGCCCTCTTCTTCCCTGCTGCCTCCAAGTAACTCCATCTGAAGGGCACAGCTGTGGCTTCTGCTGGCTCCTGCTCCATGTGCTCATCAGCTTGACTCTTAAAGTGGCCGCAGCCTGAAACACTCAGAGCAGTGTTTTCTTTCTCTCATTGTGGTTTCTCCCGCCTTCATGAACTCTGTAGGTCTCTTCTCCTCATCCCCTGAGCTCCAGTGGCCACAGCTTGGCTGATGTTACATTTTTATAGGTATAAATTAGTTGATTTGTGGGGGAGAGTGACACTTGGGACCATCTATTCCGCCATCTTGACTGGAACCTAACATTTCCTATTATAAACAATGCTACCATGAACATCATATAAATGTGTCCTTTATACCAAGTGAATGGTTTCTTCAGGGCAGAAGTGAAATCATTGGGTCTTTAGGAATGCACTTTTCTTTTCCTTAACAGTTTTAATGAGGTAGAATTTACATATGATAAAGTGCACATATATAAAGTATACAATTTACTAAGTTTTAACATANAGAATTTACATATGATAAAGTGCACATATATAAAGTATACAATTTACTAAGTTTTAACATATGTAATTAACCATGAAGCCATCACAAATAAGATAATCACTCCCAAAAGTTTCCTGTGTCCTTTTGTAATCCAAAACCTCCTTCCCCAGGCAACCACTAAAAATCTGCTGTTGCCATAGATTAGTTTTCATTTCTAAAATTTTATATGAATCAAATCTTATGTTACTTTTTTTGTCTAGCTTCTTTCAACATAATTATTTTGAGAGTCATTCATGTTGTGTGTATCAATAGTTTTTCTTTTTTACTGCTGAGAAGTATTCCATTGCATAGATATCCAACAATTTGTTTATCCATTCACCTGTTGATGGGCATATGCACTGTTTCTAGTTTTTGGCTATTACATATAAAGCTATAAAGATTCCTGAACAAGTCTTTGTGTGGATTTAAGGCTTTTTTTCTCTTGGGTAAGTACCTAGGAATGAAATGATGGGATCCTATGGTAGATGTACGTTTAGCTTTTTAAGAACCTATCAAATTACTTTCCAAAGTGGTTGCATCATTTTACATTCCCTCTTGCAAATGTAGGAGAGTCCTAGTGGCTCCATATCATTGTCAACACTTGGTATGATCACTCTTTTTGTCACTCTAGTTGGTATGTGGTAATAACTTATTGTGGTTTTAATTTGTATTTCCCTAGTGATTAATAATGTTCAGCATCTTTTCATGTACTTATTTGCCATCTGTATATCTTTTGTGGTAAAATATCTGTTTAGATATTTTGCTCATGTTTAAAATTGAGTTATTTCACTTATTATTGAGTTGTCAAATTTCTTTATATATTCTAAATACAAGTATTTTGTTGGATTTGTTTTGCTAGTATTTCCTTTGTATGTGGCTGACCTTTTCATTTCTATAAGTGTCCTTTGAAGAGTAAGAGTTTTTAAAAAATTTTGATGAAGTCCAAATTACCAATATTTTATTTTATAATTCAGACTTTCTGTGTGCTGTGTAAGATACTTTATCAAACTCTAGGTTATCAAGATTTTCTCCTATAAGTTTTATTTTAGTTCTTACGTGTAGGTCTCTGATTCATTTTGAGCTAATTTCTATAGAGAGTGTAAGGAAGGCAGTTGTGGTTCATTTTTTTTGCATATGGTATCTAATTGTTCCAGCACCATTTGTTGAAGAGACTATACCTTCTCCATCCAATTACCTTGACACCTTTGTTGAAAAATCAATTGGCCATATACGTATGGGTCTATTTCTGGACTCTAATTCTATTCCACTGATCTATATGCCCATCTTTATTCTGGTCAACACTGTTTTTCATTACTCTAGGTTTGTAAGTTTTGAAGTCAGGTGATCTAAATTCTCCAACTTTGTCCCTTTTCAAATTGTTCTGGCTACTCTAGAGCTTTGCTTTCTATATAAATGTTGCAATCAGCTTGTCAGTTCTATAAAACAGGTTGGGATTTTGATCAGTATTTTTTTGTATATATAATTCAAAGCAATTCACATCTTAACAATATTGATTCATTTGTTCCATGAACAAAATATTAATCTTGGCTGTTTTTAATTTCTGCCAGCAATGTATTATGTTTTTCAGTGTACAGGTTTTTTACAACTTTTGTCAAATTTATTCCTAAGTAATTAATACTTTTTTTTCTAAGTAATGAATATTTATTGATGCTATTATAAGTGGTATTTTTAAAAATTTCAATTTTGACTGTTATTGCTAGTATACAGAAACACAATTAATTTTTGCATATTGATGTTATATCCTGCAACCTTGCTAAACTTACATATTAGTTCGAGTGGCATTAGTAGCTTTAACATTACCAGAAATTACTATCAGTGTTATAAGAATTCTCACTGTTCTATATGCTCACCAAACTTTGCTGTATTTCTAGAAACTGATAATTTTTATTAAAAATCATCTATAATTTATAATTAGATATGAAATCACTTATTCCTATTTGCTTTTCTTTGCATATGACATATAAACATTATACTTTGCTCAAGTACCTTAATATGATATTACTTCTATTTTGAGAGTTTTTAAAAAAACAATGAGATATTTTTGTAACCCAAGGGGAGTCATTTCTCTGATAGGTCTTTTTTTTTTAAATTTTAAATGGACTCTTTTTATAAAATTTAAATACATATATCAAAGAAGAAAACATTGTGTCACTACCATAAATGGAAAATCAATATTACTTGCCATAACTAGAAAGTCATTGTAAAAATAAATTTAATGAGGGGCTGGCTGATTAGCTCACTTGTGAGAGCATGGTGCTCATAACACCAAGGTCACGGGTTCGGATCCCCGTACCTGCCAGCTGCAAAATCAATCAATCAATAAACAAACAAATAAATAAATTTGATGAGACAAAATAGTGTAATTAATTTCTAGCTAAATTCTGGTCCTGCTTTCTTTTGTTATAAATAAGTGCTAGAGAGTTGTCAGGTGCTCATATCAAATAAACCCTGTCTTTTTAAAATCATTAGAATTAGAATATAAAGGAATCACTTTATGATCAATCTTATCTAATGAACGCCCCCATCCCACTAAAAATCATCTCATGCATATGGAATGTGTTGCATACTTTGGGAGACACTCATCTAAGATACTTGTGATGGTTAATTTTATGTGTCAACTTGGCCAGACTATGACGCCTGGCTGTTTGGTCAAACATTGGTCTAGCTAGATGTTGCTGTGAAAGTATTTTTAAGATGTGATTAACATTTAAATTAGTACACTTGGAGAAAAGCAGCTAACCCTCAATAATGTTGGTGGGCCTTACCTAATCAGTGGAAGGCCACAGCAAAAAAGACCCAGTACCCTAAAAAGGAAGAAATTCTGCCTTCAGACTGCTTCTGGACTCAAGACTGCAACATCAAGTCTTGCTGGAATTTCTAGCCAGCTAGCCTACTCTGCAGATTTTGGAGTTGCCAACCCCAACTGCATGAACCAATTCCTTAAAATCAGTCAATCAATCAATCAATCAATCTCTCTCTCTTTCTCCAGTCTGTTGGTTCTATTTCTCCGGAGAACCTTGACTATCCAATATCTGACACTATGCTATCCCCTGGTGAGGGTGATGGGCTGTCTCCCCCATCCCTGCTCCCTCATTTTCCAGTTGAAACCAGGCTTGTAGAGTTCATCTATTCTCCATCATTCAGTTGTATCTTTCAACATGACACTTTTACCTAAAATCCAAACCCACAAAAGTGATGCTTAATAAGAAGCAGGAGTTTCTCCTCTGAAGGCTTAAGGCATATCTTCTAGGTTCCCATTTCCTGTCTGGGGAGGGCCACTCCTCAAAAGATTATTGATAAGAAGATTATTCACACCCTTTAGGGGAGAACTCATTGGAGATGAGGTTTTTGCTGAGGGTAGAGATGACAAATATTCCCCTTTCCATTCCATATCCATGGCAGACATGCTTAATTAATGACAGAGCTCTTTTCCACTCAGAATAGATGCAGCCTTAAAATCCTTCTTAAGACAAGATTCCAATAGGCTGCTATTACTGATAGGAGTTGTCGGAAGAAAGGAAAGTTCTATCATTCAAGTCCTAAGGCCTTAGCAGGACAAACTAATTAAGTACAATCAATAAGTCAATATTCGAACAGGAGATACAGGGGGTTGAGCAGACAGCAGCAGGGAGTTCGTTACATTATACCCATTTGACCCTTACCATGCCCAGCCCAAAGCCTGACCCTCCTTTCTCCACTTCCCATAGCTGGAAATACACCCAAAAAATTTAAGAAAGAATCGGGGAAGAAAATACTCTTTTAGAGGCAGGTGGGCAGGGAAGACCCGAAGAGGATTTGCAGATGGAAAATGTGGAGAACAATTGCTCAAAGTTAGCTAGGAATCAGCAGAAAGAGTTCAAATCCCAACTCCGCTACTCATCTATGCATCTATGTAAACATTTGCGGGGGGGAAATAACACCCACTTCTCAGGTGGTTGTGAAGGTTAAAGATAAAATGTGTGACTGGCACATTGTTGACATTAAATATATAATTCTCTTAGGCTCGTGGCCTGCCTATTCTTCCTTTTAAGACAGTGAGATCAAGATGTTGGGTGTAGGGCTGGCTAGTTAGCTCAGTTTGTTAGAGCATAGTTCAATCCCTATGCCATCAGCTGCCAAAACAAAACCAACCCCCCCCCCCCAAAAAA